GTCAGTTCATATATATGGGTCATAAACTCGGCCTGTGTGTCACGAAAAGGATTTCCAACAAGTCACAGCATACTTTTATCAACGGCTGGCCACTTCGCTGGCTCTATACTGAGAATCGAATGGCCGGTTGACCAGAAAGAATTAGCAACAAGAAATTCTGGTTAGAAACAGACCAACCAAGAGCCGATTGCTCAACAAGTGTGTAGGAGGAAATGGAGGTGGATAGGGCATATGTTGAGGAGGCTATTGAGTGACATTGCGCTCAATGCAGTCCATCGACCGAGTGGAATCCCAATGGGAAACAACAAGAGGATCATCCGAGGGTGACATGGAGGAGATCGTGTGAGACGGAGATTAGAGATTATGGTCAATCGCGGACCCAGCTGAAGAGGACAGCAGAAAACATAACAAAGTGGAGATGTGTTGTTGAAATCCTATGTTCCACTCGGAACCCAAGGGAATAATAATAATAGGGTGTACCATTCATTTACTGAGACCAAGTTTTTTTATATTTAGACTTTTTTGTACAACACACACGTGATATGTAAGTAATTCATCATCTAGGCGCCTGTTTTCATAAATTTATCTGCACACTGTTTTCAATGTTTAAGTAGCTACTTTTCAGTGAAATATAATCACATATTAAAAATTAGAACTTCGAGACACTAAAACCAGTGGAACATATTTAACTTGAATATCACGAATAGACATTTATTTTACTCGAAAAATCAAAACGAACAGAGTCCTTTTATTCTGGGTTTCTTAGAAGAGAGATCTGATCATTGGTGTCAGCCGTAGTATTATTTTATTTACTTTATATTTTACGCATTAATATGTGTATTAGTGGACTAGAATCGAGACACAGTTTTCCCAATGTTACTTGTAAACCTTAGTAAAATATGGGATAGTGTCAGGTATCATATGTGCATATTTTACTCAATTGACCAGGAAAGGAACTAATTCCACACAATATTGACATATGGTTGTTTAAATGCTTGATACATGCGAATGGACTTTCTTTTGTTTACTTGTTAACGCTGGGAGTAGTACGATATTTGATAACTGTTTGGAATCTGTTGCTCAGGTAGACTTTGTAACCAATACACACTTAAATTAGTCTAACTTTAAATTCGTATTTAGATGCTATAATAAAAAGAAATTTTACTGTTGAGCATGTAAATGATATACGGTAATAAAAAAGGATATTCTTCACTTCTTTTTACCTTCTAATTGTCATTGATATCGGATGGGTTCCTCTAATTGTCTAGTTGCTTTGCTATACATTTAAAAGAATTGGAAGAATTTTATAGTTCATGTATTGTACAAACTGGCTATTCTTCAGATGTTACAACGTACAACTGTCTCTTGACATTTTTAGGACACTGATAACTATCTACTTATATATTAAAAAGTAACAGTCGTTTAGTGTGTGCAATTTATATCCTGTTCATCTCAGGGTTAAAATGACTATCGATTTCCAATTTTTTGATTTTCATTTTAAGAATTGTTAGACTGAAGGTTGAATGTTTATGCCTTTACGTCTTTTTTTCAAAGAAATCTGAGATCCACTTGATATGTACTTGTAGTTGAGAATGACTGGATACTTGCATAGTGTGTAACACATTCATCAACCTATGAAAGTCAATCATCCCGTCTTGAAAAACTTATTTAGATTTCTTTTTTCTTAACTGACCATTTACACCACTCACTAGATTAGTGATCTCACATATCATCAGGAGTGGTGAAGTATCTTTTTATTAGCCTTGTATATAAATAGTTAATGCCTTTAAGAAGTATGGATAAATAGTACATATTAAGTTTTTAATAGACACTGGAATGTCTTATCTGTTTTAGCAATGGTATCAGTCTGAATATTAATTTGCACCAAGAACCTATTTAGAGCTTATACTGCTTCCCGAATACTATGATCGGAAAAATGGCTGTAGTAGAGGAATAAAAAGGTATAATATGATGTCCGTGTATGACGACGACGGTTACGGAATTACAATCACAAGTAACTAGTCCGCCTTAAGACTAATAAGGTAAACCAGCAGTTAGCATGCATGTAAACATATAACAGTAAAGAACTGGTAAAATGGAAATAATGAAACTCATTCTGCGAAGTGGTATGAGGTCATTGCAAATCTGGTTCATCGAAAATCATTTGAAGAGGAGTAAATCAAACGAAATGATATGGAAAGCTGATATCGCGGCACTCTGAGTCAATCCGTAACACATTAAAAGAGTATAGTAAACTTTAGGTAAGAAAGTAAAATATGAACACATCAGTAATATCTCTGTCAGCAACACGCACACCCGATTCACAGTCTGGAATAATGTCGACGAATCATCGATTAAACATTTATGTTTAATCGTCACGATGCAACACCAGTTAGAGAATAATGTAGATAAGGAAGCACTAGTTGGCTGTTTCACCTTAGTTTAGGTTTTTTGAGCATTACGTGCCCACGAAGGCACCAGCAATCGAAGCCAGGATTTTTACTTAAACCAATTCGAATTGCTACGAAAAAACCAGTGATCTAAATGTCAATCTCTAGATCATTGATTATTGCTGGATGGATCATCTGAGGCTGCTCTGAGAGGTCGTGACCATTGGAGTCCAGCATGTTTGAGTGTCATCGAAGGAATTGGTTGGGGGTAGCATTATTGCGTGAGCTGACAAAAGTTACAATTCATGGACCACTGAATTTTGGCCCATGTGACTCGATAGTAAACAAACTTGGTGGGTTGTGAGTGAGCACTGGTGAACACTCTCAGACTAGGAGGAAACAGCTGTCCAGTGCTCCTTAGTTTCCCGATACCTCTAACTAGTGTTGGTTCATGATGAGGTTTACATCGGAATTAATTTAAATTCTCACAAAGTCACATAATCTCAATTTATCTCTTCGTTATTTTAAACATGAATTTTAGACAGAGAGAAAAACAAATGTGTCATTTCATTTTCAACTCCATACGTTAGTTTTACCGTGCTATAGAAATTTAGACTACTTTTTTTTCAAATTACTGCTACGGTTCTAAGTGACGCTTAGCGTTTTGTATAACTTATGGTCACCATCTGTTAACTTTTCTCTCTTTCTATTTATTACCGCGTTGACTTTTGTTTTTCCTCCTCCTGATCATCATCTATATTAACGCTTAAATCGATATTTTCAGTCTATAGATATTCTATTATGGTTAAAACACGCATACGGAATTCATGTTAAACCATTATTTTTGTTCTTTATTTTTCTTGTGTAAGGTCAGTCGGTAAAACACACAATATTAGACGTGTGTATGCATGTGTTTAGCACATTGTTTGTTTTTGTGTAAGATGGTGTGATAGATAGGTCAGATATGAAAATTTAGTATTTAAAATAATTAAAATATACTATTCAAAGACCTTTAAAGTGAATGGTAGTCGTATTTAGAATATATTTGAATACATTTAACCGGTGGCTATGGTAAGAAGAAATTGTAATTATCAATCAATTCACTCAGATCCTTTTACAGACTCCATATGACGATTTTTGTCAATATAAATATTGTGGGTGATAATCCTTTTTATAAGTAACAACTTGTTTTAATGTCTGGGAGTATGTTTCGGCATATATTTACTTGACAGTCACTTGTAATCTATTAGTTCGAAACCTGTTTCACGCAGAAACGATCATCAACATTCATGTAGTCGGTCTTCCTCATTGTTGACCATTGATGACACTACAAGATTTACTTCACAGAGCAGACATTTAGTTTGTTTAGTTTCAAGGGAGACAAAAACAGTTTTATCTTGTCTTGGGAGTCGATCCCAAAATTGTTTACTGTCAAGAAGAAAACTTGCCAGCCTCGTTAAAGTATCAAGGTTAGATGGTTTAAGTCAGTCGCACTGGAGTTTTGAGCCTAGGTTTTGTGATTGTTTAGTATTCGTCATCAAGGCGCCTCTGCGACCTTAAAGGAACTTATGTCCCTCCTAATATTCAAACCCGAGTGTCACCTAGTGTTGAAATCAAAGACGTTACCATTGAGCACAAGACCTAGGTCCAAGACTTCGTGGCAACTGCCTCCAACCATCTAACAACAATTCAGAGTGCAGTGTAATGGCAAGCCACTTAGCATGGTGACTGGTAGGATTCAGTCTTCACAAAAGGATTGACTCAATTTATGACACTGTTTAGTACCCAGTATCCGTTGAAGGAATCAAGGTTAAGCTCTAAAATAGATGAAGTGTTTGTCAGTTAACTTTGAAATGTAGATTAGCCGTACAAGTTGAACACTGTATTATCCACTGAAAACTGAACTTTCCTAAAACCTTTATAAGCCATCGTACGCTACATATGAATTGCCTTATTTGCATATATCTCTTCAAGTTGCACCCTTAACTTGGCACTGTTCTTTGTATTCTGAGATAGTAAAATTCGAGCAATTAGTTAACCTTTAATATTTCTCTCGCATGCACATTTTATCATTGAGAACAAAGTGTACAAAATTAGGCTGTGCATTGTTACAGAAAGGCGTATGCTAGATTCGGTCAAATCATGTAGAGCTTGGAAAGGATACCTGTTCTACTTCAACCCATTCAAAACCTTTATGTAAAGACAACTTTTTGGTGCTGGTGAATATGACTTCTCTTCATCTGGAATTGGTTATTACATGGGATAACTGTCCTTATAACTTATCTTACAGTACTTTAGTTTTCCACAGATGTGTGGAAACAAGGATTTGGCTAACCTCAATTGTGATTTTTTTTACCTAAAATGCGGATATTTTTTATGGCTTATACTTCTTGTACTATTTATTTACGTCTATTCACATTTTCTCTATTTATTATTCTCACACTGCTAATCAATCAGTGAAAAGCTTGTTTCTCTCAGATGATATATGGTTTAGTGAATCGGTTAATGTATGCATACTATGCTTCAGTCAATTGACAGATCTCATAATTAGATCAACTATAAACTTGTTAATAACCTATCTCTCCTTTTCATTCTGTTTTTTCCTCACAGTATCTGTCAAAGATGTATTCGTAAAATGGATCATCACTGTCCTTGGGTGAATAACTGTGTTGGCGAAGGAAATCAAAAGTATTTCATTCTTTTTGCTGTAAGTCATGCGGATTTTATTTCATACACTTTCTCTGTTCACGCATATATCTATCTGTTTAGTAGTCGGACTTCGGGTGTCACAGTTAATCCTAGGACCAACTACTGAAACCACTTAGCCTATATATATATATATATATATATATATATATATATATATATATATATATAAGTTTCTGTGAAATTTTGTTGCTATGATATTATTGAGGTTTTCTTCAAAAAGTAATAATTGTAATGGTTTTGTTTCGGGATTTAATATACATATGTTTACTTAACCGCTATTTTCATTCCTATTAGATTCGTCCTTCCAGAAGTTATGACATAACCGAATAGAATTTAAAGACTGGACAGACTGTGAGAGTAACATTCAAAGATTATGTTCAACTGTTCGGTTAAATAATCATTCCTTTGTAGATCTTTTTTCCATGGTAGATCTTCTATTGTTCAACATACTGACGCCTAAAAGCGATCGGTATTCACAGCATTTCCGCTTAGCGTATTTTACACCTCACTGTATCACGTGAACACCAAAGCCGTATGGATTTATCTTCGGTAGTTCAGAGAAAAAGCAATTTTAAAAAAATCAACAGACTCCTAAGAAAACTCTGCAATGAAAGAAACATTAGTTAGGTTAAGACTAAAACAAAATTAAATAAGTACTTTGAACAATGTGACATAACTGATAGAATTGAATGGATGTCAAGTAAAATTGAAAGAAGGCTAAGTCAAGGTCGGTGTCAGAAGAAATAGAGATGTAATAGTATGGAAAGTAAAAAAAAAACTACGCGTTAAATGTTTTGAACAAATTAAGTCCATTGTAAGTTTAATGAATAAACAGAGTTCTGTGTTCAGAGTTCACTGAATTAAAACTAGATCCGATCATCTAATGACCGTTTTATTTGTTTACTATTAACCTTATCATCCATGTGCCTGAACTGGTTTGGTGCATAGAGATGATTTATTTCAAACCACTTGAATTTCGGCTGGCTACTTTAGCGACTTGATAATGCATTAAATAGAATTGGTTGCTTGCAGGCTATACAGTTTGAGTTCGAAATCTAATACAGTTTCCCTTGGAAACCATTGTGTTATAATTTCATGTGTTTATATAACATCACTTACTTTAGTTTTATTTTCTGAGATGGAATCAATTTCGCACTCACTAACAGTGAACAAAAGGCAATTGTTGATACTACTTATTTTACCGACACATACTCAGCTCGTTGATCAACTTTGAAGTAAAAAAAGATTTTATTGTCAATGGAAGACTCGTCTTCAATCTAGTCACTCTACTGAAAATGTAAGTATAGCTGTTGGTTATTATTTGACACCTTAATGTGTGTCTACTACTGTTCACTAGGCTTGCACAAAACACTGTGTCATTTATCGTTAGTTCGTTTTTACCTATTGTTGTATTGGTAAATTAGCATTCTTCATTGAAGACTAGTCAGTAACTAGTAGCAGTCAAGTTTGCAATGTGACCACCATTCTAGGTTGCCCACCAACACGGTCCACCGTCAGCAAACTCAATTCCAGTCGTGGATTTAAACATAGAGTTTCATGCCTTTTCTAAGTTAGGTTTTCCTAGGCATGTCTTCTGTTTTCATGATGATGACTGATAACCTAAATTACTGTGCTCACAAAAGTCAATCTCAAAGGTCAGTGAATTAGTAGAACATTCTAATCATCTATTAATTACTGCTGCTGTCATAGTATCGCAAACCTCAAGGAAATTTGTATTTCTCTTTTTTTATTTCAGTTTTATATCTGCCTCATGTCGTTTTCCGCCATAGCTATGTGTATTTATTTCATTTTTCAATGTTTGAGCTCGGATTGGGAAGGTAAGCAATACTATAATACAATGTCCTTTTACTGATTGGTAAATACTGATTATATCTAAAGACAGTTTGTATGTCAACTACTTGATATGTGACTAGTGTTTTCCATTTCAGTATTCAGCATTAAGATTATTATTCACTATTGGTGTGGAAGATAATAGAAATTGTCTAATGGGGTAGGAGAGGTGCTTGACTTGTACGTGACGACAAATTTAGTATCTTCTTCAACAGAAAGTGTATTTATCGAACCAATAATAGTTTTCAGTGCGAAGTTAAAAAAATGTCTTAGGTCCAGTAGGTTGGCGAATAATTGTTTTAAATTTGTTCATTTACTTGACGATTATTCATGAGCGCGTAAGTGCTTTTTAATCTGGTTCAAATACACAAAGCATGCCAGAAAGGTACTGATACACTGAAAGTAGGCTGATGCAATAGTCAGGAGTGATCAGTTTAGTCGATCAAACTCGAAGATCTCCAATTGGAAACCAGCAATTTGACAGAAGAAGCAGCAAAGATAGAACTTCACGTAAACATAGAGATGACAGAGATAATGAAGATAACCAACCGACAATGACTAGCATCACTTACCACCAACGGGAGAAATCTGAAAGAAGTCGTCTCCTTCACTTATCTGAACCTAGAAGTAGTCAGATATGAGTATGTTGAAACAAGCCAAACTGGACAGAGCAAGACTAGTGATCATTGCTCTGAAGTCAATGTAGAGTAGAGTACTCAGAATGAGGAACAAGACCCGAATCTTTAATAGTAATGTCAATCAGTCAGTCCTTTTATATGGTTTAGAGACTTGACACGCGTCATCTAAAGCATATCTAACAGGCTTTCCAGCAGACTTTCATCAACGGCTGCCTTCGCTTTCTCGATACTGAAGACCAGATGGCTGACGAGAAAAAGTAAGCAACAAAGAATTCGGAAACTGATGCATACCAGCCGATATACTATTACCGAAAATCTATGCAAAAGTAAATGGAGTTGAATTGGACGTAAGCTAAGTGACATCTCGCGTCAAGCTCTCGAATGGAACCCGAAAGGGAAACGACGAGATGGTTTTATGAAGGCGACATGGATGAGAACGTGTGTGAAAGGAATAAAAGCTTATCTGCAACCTCTGAGCCAACTAAAAAAGGCTACAAATATGCGCTGCTGATGCCCAATGCTCTACCCGGAATCCAAAGGAACAACAATAGTAGTAATAAAATAAATAGGGTGAACAGTGGACGGTTGAAAAAGATGACACAATCATCATTATATGCATTATGTTTTCTCCTGATTATATCTGAACAACCCCTCTCGCACACCCTATTAATAATAAGCATAATTATGCGCTGTCTTTGCTTGATTTTGTACCAGATCCTTTGATTTCTCTTGTAATCATTTGATCAGTATGATAAGTAAGATGTTACAAGTGGAATTGTGTAATATTATCAGTTGTTCCTTGTCAAATGGTGTGTCGTACACTTTACGTCTGTACTGGCTATTTTCATGTATCGCTTTACCACCTTTTGTTTTATTAACACATTCGTTGTTTTGTGGAATTTTTCAAATTTTTCCAAGTAACTGCAAACTCACAGGAATTAGCATATTGATAACATCTACTGTAGTTGGTTCGATAAAGTATGTTCTCTGATAGCCTTATTTTATTCATACACATCTCACACTTAAAAGTAAAGTGTGAAATAGGGTCATTTAAGACATATTAAGAAATATTGTTCCGAATCGTGATTGCTGCTGATACCGTCCCAAATCTTTTAACTGTGTTGTGTAATAACAGTTTTGATAAAAGCATCAGCTATTGAAGGTATTCCATGAAAACCACGTTTAGTAGTAGTGTACTGAAACTAGAAACGACCCATTTTGTTGCGTTAACACTGCTTTCAAATAATATCTAGTGACTAAAGCAGACGTTCCAGAACAAACAGACAGTAACATTACTTTTAGAACTTTTTAAATCTAATCTATGATAAATTAATGAATGTAACCGTAAATAGCTTACACAACAGTTTACCAATCAAGTGGCGATGTGCTTTTTAACAATAATTAGGCAGTGTCAAAATGTCAATGGGTGGATAATTAACGAAGAAAATCAATACACATTTCGAAGGTAGAAACGGTTAGAATAAATCAATTTTACAAGGATAACACGTAATTAAAGATGAAGTGGTCAAAAAAATAAATAAATAGAATAATTTGGACAATTATAAATTTTATAATTTTTAAATGTTCGTGTAGCTATGGCCAAGGTAAGGAAAGTGGCTGTACAAATTTCTTTTGAACACACAGGTTTGGCTTCTTCAGGTGGATTCCTATTGCTTCAGCTGTCTGTAGAAGACGAACTCGTAGAGCAAAATTAAGATTAGTAGAAATGCGATAAATAGTTTTAAATCCAGTATTAACGTCAACCTTATGCTCACTATCTACAAGGTGTGCTAAAATAGAGGTACGAATAGATCTTGTTTGTCCCCTGCTTAACCATGTTGGATGATGTTCGGAAATACAATGATGATTACACGATGTTTTGAAACATGATGATGAAGCTGATAATTGTACGCCCAATGTAGCTGGCTCCGCTGCTGCAGTCAAACTGGTAGATACACAGAGAAGAGACAAATTTAGGTAGTTAATCCTTATTTCTCGAAAGTAGAATAGGGGTGGTTGTGAAGAGACACCGTACCTCTACTGCATAATAAGCCCTTTCAATTGCATTCTTCAGGTGCTGTGTTATTATTTCGCTGGTGTTGTCACCGAGGAACTGCAGTCTTATGAACATTGATTTTTTCGGAACTGTTGTCATACTGACTCTCCTAGGTGCTGAATTCATATTTTTCTCAATGAATTTATCTGGATAATCATTCTCTAATAATCTCAAGCTCCTCATTGAGGCAGTCGTCTGAACAGATTAACCTAGCTCTATGAACCAGACACCTTACCAGGTTACGTTTATATTTCAAAGGTAGAAAACTCAAAAAATGAGTGCACTGACCTGTTGTTGTAGGTTTCCTATACACACTCCTTCTTAGTGTGCCATTTTCATGTTCTATCTGTGGAACGTTGTCTCACTCTTTATTGTCACATTTTCGATGTGTTTCATTTCTGAGAAATGTATTTGAAACCCGGTTATGTTGATTTGCCTATCTGTATATAGAATTGTGTACCCGCGAAATTCACTGTATTGATACCAGTTTGTTCTTAAACTCTCTTCCTTGGATTTTCCGGTGGGGGATTACATCAAATTCTACAGTGGTAAACTTACCGCTTGACTGAATCCCATCGGCCATTATTTTTTTTACTGTCCAGCTGAATGGATCTTGAAGCATAAGAAGAGATTGTAATAATAAGTGATGCCTTTTCATTATCTGGAATTAAATACCTACCTGCAATTCGAACAAAGTAAAGGATAGGTTTTGTGGTTTAAATATCCAACTGGAGAAACTAAACCAAACGCTAATCATGACGATCGTCTCTTTGAATTGTGCCTGAAGAATAGTTTGTTCTTGTCCAATAGCACTAATTTATAATATGAAAATAGTTAGTGTTTCATTTCACAACCAAGAGAAGATACAGAATGTTCAGATAGGTGGAAAATCATCCCCCACCCCTTCTGAAATGAATGTCTGGTTGATTTTGAATATATATTACTTTATGCATTTACACGCCTACGACTAAATAGCTGTATAAACAAGCATCGATAAAATCTTAGTTTTTCTCCTTTGTAAAACCATGCTGGTAAGTGTTCGGTGATACGCTTGGAAAGCGAACGCTGGGTACGGCCGACATACCTGGCTCCACACGAGCAGGTAAATTGATAAATACACATTGATGAGGCCAACAGTGGTAGCTTATCCTTATTATTATCCAGTTTAAAGATAAAGGCGTCACGTCTGTACTAGGAAGGAATCAATCAAACAATATTATGAGCATGACTACAATACCCGTCCAGAGGATGTTTATCAGTGCTGTAGAAACGGTATTAGGAACAACCACTAACCTATAGCCATAATAGGCTGATAAAAACAAGGGGACTCATCTCACGGAGGGGTGAAAATTACACGGACCGGTATTTTCCTAAAATTAAGCTGACATAATCCTCTTAATAACTGCTTTCAACAGTAAATGATGAAAGCAATAAGAAAGATATCACCATTAGGCGCTAAGATTTAACTTTCTACAGTTGCTTAAAAGCAGGCTTCAAGAAACGTACGGCAGATATCCGAGGTGGATGAACCTTTATTAATTTCTGAGAGCGAATGACATGTTAAAAGCAAGGTGGGAAATTGATTGGTTTAGAATTCTGACTTATCGCGTACATGTGAAATCAGTTTACAATGGACACATGTTTGACACCCCATGTTACAATGCAGATAATACCAATATCTGTATGAATGAAGTGTCCTATATAGATAGGAATAAATACATATTGTTATATTAAGTATTGCATAGTCTTTTCTAATGTACAACTGCCCTCGTTTTCCACCATGTTGACTACATAGCACTCCACTCTTCAATAAAGCTTCACGAATGATTTGATCATTCAGAAAAGTTTATAACGTTTTACTATCAGCAATAGGGATCTCTGGGAGCGAACCAACCAGGAACCGATTGTGAACCAAATAGGCAGGAAGAAATGGAGATGGATTGGCCATACTCTGAGGAAACCATCAAGTGACACTACTAGACAAGCCATGGCTCGAGTGGAACCCAAAAGGGAAGCGGTGAGTTGGTCGTCCAAGGGTGACTTGGAGGAGGTCGTGTGAAGAGGAGATGGAAGCATGTGGGCAGGCTTGGAGCACGGTGAAAAAGTTGGCAGAAAACCGAAGGCAATGGAGACGCGCAGCTGAGGCCCAATGTTCCTCTAGGAATTAAGGGATATAATAATAATAATCAGCCAGAAAACAGGGAATTACTCAGTCTCAATGAACTGACGCATTTATGGTGTTAGTGTATGTCTTAGTTCACTGAGAATAGAATTCTCAATCAGTCACTCAACTTTTGTTGTGTTCTGTAGCTAACAATGCAGAACAAACGATGAAAGTACTGTATGCTGTCCATCCACGTAGCTAAACGTTGTCGAAAGTTCTGCTCAATTAATCGGCATCGAATGCTTAGTAATACTGACTGTTGCGTATTTACTGATTACTAGGTGCACGCGTTTTAAAGGGCAAATTGTTTTCGAGAAAAACAGCTTATTTCAAATTTATAAAAGGGTAATTTACGTGTGAAGCATATAATCGATGGGAATAAATCTAAGAGATTTTCTCCCTCTTGATCCTGCATTTTTCATCTTAAAATGTTTCAGTTATTCTAGTGTATTGATTTTTCAATGTTTCTGTTCTTCCTCCAATTTATGCATATTTTTCAGTTTGTCAACCCAGTCAAAGCTTTAGCCAACTAGGCAACTTCAGTCCATTAGCATGCAGTGCATTTGCTTTAGGATTAATATGCGAATCCCTTATGTTCGGTATTTTCACATTGGTTATGTGTATCAGTCAGTTGTGTGCTATTTCTAATGATGAGACGGTAAGTTGAAAACACATCACATTTTTATGTTTCCTCCTAAACTGTTCTTGTATATATACATATACGTTTGGGGCAATGGTAGCCTTTAGCTGAGTGCTCCGATCTCAGTGAACTACTTTGTACAGGGCTTCAATATTTTCATGGACTTTTTACAGATAACCGCTTCAATTTGTTTACTTAGGTGAATATGGCCTTAATATCACAAAATGCAATAACTTTCGACTTCTTATATGTGGTACGGATTGAACGAATTATCAATACATGTACAATGTGGACGAAACTCAGTAAGGGATTTTCTGAGTAAAAGCTTCTACTTTCTGTAGCAGACTAAAAACCGCATTATTTTTTACATAAATTATGTAAGCTATTTATAATGATCTTCTTTGTAAGTCTAGTAGCACTCCTGTTGTTATGCCTTCTTTTTAGTCCCCGTCTTTACGAAATGTTGTGACATCTTTATGATGGCATAGAGATTAAACCTTGGCGCTGTGGTAGAGTATGATTCTATTCCGAGTGAAACTTAGGGCTCCAAGCTTTTAGATAAAGTTTCAGTAGCTATTGTGCTTTATGGGGTGAGGTTGATAGCTTCACTCTAAACTTTCCCTTTTTTACGGTCTTACTACTGACCAGTAAACGAGGTGGGATTTGACGGTAGTTCTGCCGGAGACTGAATCCAGACCACCGGTGTGGCTGACGGGAATTATACTCCTCAGTCACCTATGCCTATGATTCCATAATAGAATGATTTTATAAGATTTAACGTGTTCAATCAGCATTATTTATTTGCTGATTACTTTCCAAGCACAATTAATTTCATTGTTTTTGTTTGCCTTTCGTTTTGTGGTGATATGGAGAAAAAATCAGTTTGAACTGATTCCATTCTGTATGAGGCACTGGTATGTATATGCTTTTGGTCACTTGAGTTTTACATAATTAATCGCATACGCTTGTTGAAGGAATATTTACTATCCCTCGCATGATCAAATAACAATAACCGTAGATCGTAGACCTGTAAATGTATAATGTATTTCACAAAAGTTTACAAGTTTTCTTGCTGTCACAAAACACTAGTTGCCTTGTTATGCGCGCACTCGTCGGAAAAACTAGAAGTTCGTATTTCATCTTAAAAGTGCAGGACGTTAGAGCTGGTAAGGTTTTTTTTACTAACTTATATCAAGAAAATGAGTGAAAATTCTACTGTAGTTGAACAACTTATGACGATTCACGAAAAATAATTCTATAATAGGGAATCTGCAATCGGTATAATATTCATTTTTAGTTGATGAACACGAGGAACCCAATGCCTGTTTGATTCAGGGCTACTTATCAGAGCATGTATAACATTGAAAAGAGGAATTTAATTAACATTTTTGCAATTCATCAGTATATACATCCTTAATAACCACGTGTGTTTTGCTTTCGAAAATCGTGTTTTTTAAAGGGTATCGAAAACTTTAAAAAAGAACAGACATCCTGGGAAAAACAATCAAGTAGACAAAATTTCATGAAAGCATTCGGTTCCCGGTTCTCATGGAAATGGTTTAGCCCCTTTTCACCACCTCCACCCCTAGCACCGGTAGTACCAGGTCTTCCAAACAATTTCGATTCAACAGTTATGTTACATTTCGCTGAGCAAAATGCAACTCGTTCTGGTCCAACTGGATTTCAAACAGATCTCAATCAGGTGCTTTATGTTGTTTGAAACTTAACTATTGTTTACTGTGACTACGTTATTAATAAATAAAACGTAAAGAGCCAAAAGACCAAGTTATTTTCTTCAATTCTTGAAGCTGCAATCTAGCGTCTTATGATATGCAGGGAGAGTGTATCAATTGCGGAGTGTACTCTGTCGTTTACTTAAGTCGCGAAGACTCAACGAAAGGTAATTGTATACGATATTCAGCGTAATAGAAACCACATTGAGCATTGTATATGCTGTGAGACCGAATTAAACAATGCACGATTATAGTACTACTTGTTTATTACAACAGTTGTAGTAGTAATAGTAATGATAATCATTGTTGTACTTTTTGCACACTTGGAATTTAACCAAATCAAGATTTTAAAAAAGGTAAAGGAAAAAATGCACACCATTGTTTTCCACCTATTAAAACAATGTAGAAACAAGATAAGTATCTATATACGCGTATGTTCATTTAAAAACACAAATAAGAAATCAAAATATATACTTGTTCATTTAAAACACAAATTAAGAAGGTAAAAAGATTCAAATCTCTTCTGCTTGTTCATTTAAAAGTCAGATAAGAATGTACTGAAGATAAAAATTCAAGGGCTGAAAAACACATGATGTGTATAAGCGTGTGCCAGTTAACATGTAATCGAATAGTCATTTATCTACCAAATGGCGAATAGTCAGAATCGTATATACACAACAAAATTACATTCGTCACGCAGTAAGCGATTATTCGAGAAAAACGTAAAAACAAACTATTCCTTAGAAAAAAGGATTAGTTGGGTGAAAGAAAATCTGAGATTATATTGTGTATGTATAGCGAGCAAGCTAACAGCATGCATGATAAGACACAAAAAATAACTGGACTTTGAATTAAACGACCGTGTTTTTTTCAACTGTACCAAACTAATGTATCTAGAGCGCAGGTTATCGAGCCAGTGTAGTGATGAGTTCAGTGCACATCTCAAAAAACTCCATTGTTTGATGGCGTTTAGTTCTCTTGTTGACTGGAACTTCTTGATAAGCTGTTGTAAATGATCGGGAGAGTTCAGGTGCATTAAGACCATCTGAAGCATAGGTCGGTAGTGGGCTAGCAGATCCTGTGCTACCTGACAAACTTCCATCTGCACTGTACGTTGATGTGCCCATAGCAGCTGGGGGAGCTAAGGAAATATTAACGCAAATATTTTAACATTAATTACGTTAACTGTTTTATATTTTAGAAAAATATGCGACATTTTCCACTGAGCAAATAATTAAGAGTTTTGTTACTAAGCGCCTCATATAAATAGCTGGAGCTGGTAATCTCACATTTACTAATAGAAAGCCCAGACTAATGTCATGATTAAATGCACAGAATGTAGCGCTTGACTGTTAGTACAATAATAAACACATGAATAACAACTGCAAATAAAATCAATACTTTGCATTTAAGAGATACACAGAACAACTGTTTTATGATGCTTAACATGATTCACATTGCACTGCTCAATGGATAAAAGAGCAACAGAGAACTTTTGTGTTACTCATACAAACTGAACTCAGAAAATGAAGTTTTCCGATTTTTTCATCCTAATTCTATCTATTTTCATTGTTTCTCCTTAAGCTATAAAAAATGTCAGTAGCCCGTTTAACCACCACCTCCAATAAGACTAAGGTCATACGCTTTTAACTAAATTGAAATTGGAGCGAATCACTTGGCTAATATTGTTTCCGTTCATTTTGTACTTCGCTTGATAACAACTAAGTGAAATTAGTTTGTATTCAGATTATAAGAATAAAATACGTGTTGCTTCATGTGTTAAAAGTGTGAAAATTTCCTAATTTTAATTGATATCCTACTCGCTATTATATCTTTATTACTATTATAATTTAAGTATTTTTAGTGAACTGTAATTGCATTGATCTTGCTTTATAAATCGATATTATTTAAAAAACACTAATATTGTTATTAACTACCAACCTTGAATATTCTGTGTATATAAACATGTATATAATTGTAGAGCCAGAAGAGGAATTTATCAAAAAGAATATTCTTTGCTCGATTATGTTGTGTTTTATAGATATCTGAATGAATATTTTTGCTATATTAAATACTGGTGTCTCCGTAATAGTGACCACTAAATACACTTTACTTGGCCAACTACGAAAACATACTGATTTCATTTGAATTATATTTTTTTATTAGTCTACTTCCCAGCTTTTCGTATGATGCGCACAAACACACAGTTCACTGGCCTTTATTCAATAATATCTGAAGATCAACGTACATACGAAATGGCTTTTGGGGAAAAATTACTGAATACAACGAAAAAGAGACCAATTATTAGTGAATAAAGAATATGCTTTTTGATGACTTCATCACGTTATACACTTATTCATCCACAAAAATTAAGGAATTCCTGGTATTAATAATATCAGTGTTTTAAATAACATCGAGCCAATCAAATAAATAGATAACAATGGAAAGACATCTAAGTGACAAAAATTAAAGGAAATCAATACAGAATTTATAAGCTCCACAGAAGGCGAACGTCGTGACCAGATGTGTTTCTTTTGGATGCAAAGCTCTGGTTGTTTTAGGCGATTCACAATGGCTCCTACTGTTGGGAATGTTCAGTATTTGGAGGCTTCTGGCAATGTATTTGGTGCCCGATAGCTGATAGAAAAAGATTCTTGGTTGTTGGTTTTATGGCCTGTTTGGACCAAGAGACCTACTATTGAGATGTTGGTGGTTTTCACTGCACCTTTATATAACCACACTAGTTTGTGTTTTGTAGTATGAAAAACTAAGTTCCTATTGATCTTACTGATTCATTTTTATTTAAGACATCAATGTTGTTAATAGCAATAAATATCTAATTAATATGGACATACAAATGTTTCCTCATTAAACTGTCTTTTGATATTTATCTCCATTACGTGTAGGATTTTATTTTGATAAATCACACAGTTATACAGTAATATCAGTTAATATTACTGTACAACACTGTGTGATTTATCAAATAAAATCTAATTCATAATCGAGTTATACTCTACCACAGTGCCCAAGTTTTATACTTATTTTGATATTTATAGTAGGCAACTTCACTCAATTAAAAAATATTTTTAAACATCAAAAATCTTACTTCCGCTACATGAATCAAGGCACACAGACATATTATTTGAACGAATTCGCCCCATAACTGCTTCAGCTTCTAACTGACTCTCATCGATACACTTGAAATCTAGTAGGTATGATCTGGCATCCACCTATCGAAATGAAAATTTCTGTAATTGAAGCACAATATGTTTGAAATTATTTAAAATACTGTAGTATGACAGATAATATCAACATATTTTGTTGATAGCATTCTTACAAATAATTTAACACATCAGTAGCTTTAACAAATGTGATATTACAATGACACACTGGTAACTAGCAATAACAATGATTTTATTTGTATCATATAAGGCATATTTATAATAGTTTAAAAATTATCTTTCGTCTAACCAACGGGTATTACTAATATTATTTCTCAGTCACTCGTCAATCTAAATGTTGAAATTAGAAAACACACTACGGATAGCCTGATTTCGCAGAAGAAGGCTGGTTAATCAGCATTACCATTAGCCGATGCTTAAGTGGATATACAGACTAATATTTTCAACTTTAGTTTTGCTGAACACCTAAAAATGGACTTAGAAGTCTGCTAAACTTTGCCTAAACTAAGCGTTTCTGAGATTGATTCCTTACTGTTATTCAGTTACTTTTATTGTTACGCCACTGTAAAGAGCAGATGACTAGTCACATCTTAACAATATCGATTAATACCATAGTTATCCAGAATAAATGTTCTTCACTACCTGATACAGTTGTAATACAAGTCTTGAATAGTGCTGAAGTATTGGATTCCACTTTCTAACGCGTACATTGAAAGGATTTACAACTTTCCATTCATATCCAAGTGAATTCATAGCTTTAAATACTTCATGCATGATATCCCATGGTCTAGACTGAGATCGTATACCCAAATGCCACTTAAAACGTTTCATTCCAGATGCTGCGGCAGCTCCTGCAGCAAGCGCAGACTGAGCTTGAGAAGAAACTTGACCTGTTGAACTCATTTCAGATGTTCCAGTTGAACTAGATGACTGCTGTAAGGAAAAAACAAGAAAATTACACCAAATACTCAAAAATAAGGCCCTTTACATTTGTCTTAAGCAAACAGTACAATAAACCAGCAATGATGGTTGTGTGAACAAAACTTCAACCATAAGATCAGTCTAACCGATATTAGATCATAGTTCATAACACATAATAATATTATCTGAATATTAAAAACTAAGGTAAAGTCAACTGCCTAATCTGCGGTTTTGCATAAGATCTGGTGGGAGATAGTTGCAGAAGATTCATAAGAAGATTTTTGTGTGGATTGGTACTCATTAACATTCACAGTAAGGACTTATTCGTCTGATAAGACGAAATATCTCTTTAAAAAGGCTTAAATATAAGCGAACAACTTTATGTTTGGGACATTAAGTGCAATGAAAATCACGAAAATAAAATCCAGAAGTACGGCGTAAGGATTTTGACGGCTAACACTAACTGTATTGAAGTGCGTTGTCTGCTCTACAGCAGGAAACTGAAGATGAAATGGCTCTGCTAATGGATAACCATTCCAAAAACTCAGTCCTAAAAGTTGCACATTCAGACTTACTCCATCAAAAAACGCAGCCAGAAACTTCAGGAATTCTAATACACTTCAACAGGTCAAAAGTGACTGGCCCTAAGTAAGTGTCCACAGGAAGCCAGTTGATTCTCTCTCTTTCGAGTACAGAGGGGAAGCATTGACCTTTACAGTTTGAAAAGCTAGAAAGAGTCAACTACTTATCCACCTCTCTATGTATGCCACTGCCATCTGATTATCAATCACCCTTCTCATTACTACCTAAAATTATCTTACATCTCTTCGCGGAAAGGCTTCCACGATGCGTCATGCACAATTCCACTTCATGAAGATGGTGTATGCAAGCTTTGAGGCGAAATTAAAAACTCTAATATGTAGCTTAGAATATTCGTAAAATCGGTCGATAGACTTCACTGTCTGGAATCTTGATACTTTTCCCAATATATGTATGCTTTCGTAAGACATAGAATTCAACTGACCCCATCTGACCATGGCAGCGTGACCACATATCTCTCACTTTTAATAGCAGGCACTTACATCTATGTAGATTTAAGCGACTCTTAAGCCATGAGACAGTGTGCCTTCTTCAACTGTACGGTAGTTAACAGTCGTCTGTGGACTATGCAGGCATACCAACTGTAGCTCAGAAAATATAAAAACGAATTTCACCAAGAAAGCATCCGATTCCGCATAAAAGCATTCTGATGTGGTCATTATCTAGAGAGATTTTAAAGCATACGCAGCAGAACGATATATGAAGCAGACAAGATAAAACAGCTGATGACTGTGACTACCTGTAACAACTGTGTTCAGATAAATGTATTCTTCGCTAGTATTCACTACAAATCAAAAGGCAATGTCAATAAAATGGTGACCTTCAAACCCAATTTAAATAGATCATAACGCCATCAGTTACTGTCAGATGGGCACAGAAGAGGACTGTTTTTTCTTCGAGGACATGTAATTGTACTAATTAAACGTGAGAGTAAAATCAATGAAAGCCTTTACGAGTTAAACTTGATTCTCAGAGAATAAAGGAGGTGTTTCAATATGAAACGGCTGGGTAGTTAGACAGATACGATGACGTTACTAGTTTTGAAGAATCTTGAAAGCACCAGTTTGATTTGTAAAATAGCATTAGATACTCCTACTATTTTTCATAAAACAGTTTTTAAAAAATCCAACAAACATCAGTAGCTTTTTCCCAACCAATGTTTTACTGTCGTTGACGGCTTTTGAAGTACTATTAGAGCGAAACTAACTTTATATTAAAATTCTCCCCAAACGGCTAACTGCCACCACTATCAAACAGATGAAACTTACTTTACAATCATATAAACAATGTCATTTGCATAGTCAAACGTTTTTAGGCAGGTCAAGAAGAAGCAATCTCCTATGATCGCCAACGCACCTCTAACAGAACCCATCGCGACTCTAGCCCTTTTTTCATCTTATTCTCTATATATTTACTTCTATTCTCCCTCACAGATGAGGAATATGAGATTTTCGCTTATTAGAGGCTTACAGGTTAACATACCTATTAGATTATTAAACTTGTCAGTACACGGATAAACTTATTTTACATTTTACTCCTAAGAAACATTTCAAAAAGATTAAAACAAAATACCTATCACTTAATGATATTTATGTTAATGTACTACACTGTCTTGCTAACTCTTATAGTCTCTATCTTACAGTAATCGTATTAAACGTTCTTTAAGTCTATACATTACTATTATCTAAATGTATGACTATTATGAAAGTGTATTACCTACAAAATCCACAGCTAACATATAAAGACCAAATTTCTGTCATTTACTTTGCAAAAATCACACAATGTGTGAGATTTTTGCTGTGGTTGCCAAAAAATAAAGATAGGAATCTTAGAGATATAACTTGAACGAGAAGGTTGGATATATATATATATATATATATATATTATGCTACCAAAGAGCATCATAATCTAAACTATAATTACTTCTAAACACAAAGCTGTATAAGACAGACGTGGCGACGGATACATAATGCCATTAGGTTAACAGTGTTGTATGAGGAAATATCACATGACCTTATTGTATGCAGGTAAACCACTGTATTTCCAGATTAACCAAATTAATCTAATAGTGGATACGAAGCTTGCAACAACAAAATTATACAAGTGAAAAAACCAACACAATACCGGTGAATCCCCCATAGGGTCCAACGTCCTAGACAGTGGTGGTCCATCCGGCATTCGTTCAGGATGAGGTCTCGTTGGAGAGATAGGTCGATTCTTCATTCCAGTGATGCCAACAGAATTACCATAATTAGGAGTCAAAGACTGAGTGGCTGACGCACAGTGGGAATTAGCCGACGATCCGGTAGGACTGCTGGGTGTATTTGCAGTTGTAGCTGAAGGTGAATCTATCCCAGTAGCTACATAAAAATTGTTTACTTCCTCTGGATTTAAAACGGATCCGAAACGTCTTAATGATAAAATAAAAAAGAATAACAATGCAGCCATGGACTAAACAGCTTTATATTTTTAAAAACAGCCGAATACTTCATTTTAATATAATCAATGGTATGCAACAGAATTACCGATGTTTAGGCAAGGTTATTGTGACCAGGTAACCATATATATATATATATATGGTTACCTGGTCACAATAACCTTGCCTAAACATCGGTAATATATATATGACTTAACAAGAATAGATATTAAATTAAATTAAATATACTCGTTCACTAATCACTACATGATTAAAAGCATATTAATTTAGGTCAATAATATTTTAACGTGTCATTTCCTTCCGTTCACGAATTTGAATAATATAATATAATATAATGCATCATCTAACTAACTGAACAAATATAAATGCGAAATTGTTCCACTTTTGTTTGTGAATAAAATCAGCTCATATGTGTAAAGCGTTATGTAATTTCAATTAGCTATATGATTTTAAGATGATCGGCAAAATTGGATCTTCTCATAGCTTCATGGATCTGTATCACAGATTACGTCGCTTGTTCCCAGACGATGAATGTGCTAACCAGCACTGTGACAACACATCTATTGTTATTCTCTTTGATACTTATTTACAATGCTGTAAACTGACTTATTCCTGTGTGGGTAGTTCAATAGTCAAATGTTCATCAGTCACACATGTGGTTCGGACCTTGTTTATCTTAAACCTAGAAGAAAGAGAAGATTGGATGTAAAACTCCGCCCCGTAAAAACAACACTACGGCTACCGAAACTTTAAAAGTCATGTAGCCCTATGTTCCACCTAGAAAGAAAAGAGATTAAAAAATGTAAATCCCACGAAGCTGTTGCAGTATGTGTGGGACACATTAGCTACTCAAGTCTAAACAGATCTTCGATTACCAGGGCTTTTTAGACAAAATACCTTACAATGTTTATGTTTTTACAGTCGTTTTACTGAAGATGGGATGAACACCTCATGAACGCCCCAATCGAATCCAAAGGTCATATAAAAAATTATATTTTTAACTCCACAAAATGAAAAAAAATCATGAACACATATAGACTTTTCTACGTGAAGAAGTTAGCACAAATGAAAATTTAGGCTGCAGTCGTTCCAACTAGAGCCGATAGTATTTCTCACTGCTATTTAATTTCTACTATTCACATTAAGATCTAATTATTCAAGGATTAAAAATAGTTGGCATACACTTTTTTTAATTCATGTAATTAAATTTGAGTAAGGCACGGAGTGTTCAGGTCACTGAACACCAGCAAATAAGTTAGCACGCTTTCTACATATAAGTACTACAACTGATCAACTTACTTGTTGTCTATGATAAGATGATAGGCAACTGACAAATGGTCGCTAGGATCATTGTTTAACAAAGCAGCAAATACTTCACGTTCCGTTGCATTACACGCCTGACAAACTTCATAAACAGCTTCCTATATTTTTGTAGAAAGTGATAAAAACATCAGTAGGAATTATTAATAACAGTCATTAAACAAATTGATAAATTTTTCAATGGTATGTAAAAATAGTACTCGTCCAAGTGATTATCATAATGCCCTAAAGCTTCGAAAGTTATTGGAAGACTACAAGATTTAAACACGCCAGTTTGGGATTTAGTCAGTTTAAAATGAAGTGGTACCTACACATTAACTATACTGATCTGATTTTCTCTTAAAAGATACATCCTTAAAAGCTGGACTACAGGGAACGGATTAGTTTCGAATCAAATTACGAGCTGACGTAAGTTAGAGAAATACTGCGAAATCAAGGAGCACTGAACAGTTGTTCCACTCTGGCTTGAGACTACTCCAGCAGTATGCACAGCATGACTCCACCAGAAACTCCAGGTTATGAGGAGCGTGTCAACTATCTAGCCACTGGGACGGATTCCGATAGCCCATAAATCCGAATTTCTGCGAATTCGTGATGCGTAACGCAACTGTCACCCAGTGTCATCAGCAAGTATCTGTTCTCAAACCTAACTAGGCGGACTCACGAATTCTTAATAAAACTCAAGACAAATTTACCCTGTAGTCAGCCAACAGTGAGCAACAGATTAATTTTCAAGCAATGATTTGCAGGGAGTTTACTAAGAAGCGATGGAAATTAAACAAATTGGTGGTTTACTCCAGGTATTACTAAACCTAAATGACTTATCAACCTTTCTTATTATAAAAATGCAGACTACCTCATGGTACAGTTAATACATTGATTGCTTAGTAGGCAATGGTAGAAAGATACAAACTAACTTATGTTGAATAGTCATAACTATGGAGTTTCGAAAAACTAATTTTAAACTTAACATAAAGCAAAAGTTTACGCTGTTAAGACATTGATTTTACTGCCTAGAGTAATTTTCTCAAGACTGGTTCATATTAACGATTAGCTTTGTTTTATAAAATGAATTCAACCGCGACTTCATGAAATTCTGTCGCATGAGTCATACTCAGCACTTTATTGGATATTTTTCCCTGACTCTCTGTAATTTACTATTCATAAAAATCCTTCGAGAAAAACTGTACGATTACAGTTGTTTCACTTGCATTAACTGATATCTTACATAAGTTCAGTGTCTGTTTTCTATGATCATGTTGCTTATAACACAGAGTATATACATGAACTGTATGGTGGCAGGAAAACAAAGTAAACATAGGATGAATTAGATAATTTATGAATCTTAAATAATCCGTGAAGGTTTGGAGTTATATCTTATTATCGGCTTATGTATATGCGTCATATGTGGAAAATCTAACTAGGTAGTCTTTAAGCTCTCATTTTATTGGATACACCAACTATATCACTGTAATGCGCAACAAACATTATGATGCGACATATTTGCTGGATGGAATTAGCTCTGTACAAAATCAAGTCACCTTTACACACGGGGAAGGAAATTGTAATCAGCTCATAGTTTTATACATACTTTTGAATCAAAGAAAAGATGGCTGACTAAGACGGTTAGTCTATAAACAACCTTCTTGGACACAGCATTATGTGAAATTTCAGATTTTTCCCACTGCAATTCAAGAGCTACTCAGTAAAATATTTGTTTAAGTAAATCCAGAATATCTCTACAACTGAAATGATTGGCAGTGACAGTAAATTTTGACAATATTTTGTCGAAAAAGGATACCCTCTAACTGACAGAGGATAGTTAAGCTCAAGACCTACAGTGTATTCCGTGCCTTAGAAAGATATCTACATTAAAATACTCCACAGGATGGGAATAAGTAGTATGACCTTAAGACAGAGACTAAATTCTATCGTCTGTAAAACTAAATATCGAAAAAGTCAAAAACACACCGTACCATAGAGTTCGACATCGAATCGAATTAGCGATTTTCCAAATGCACAGTTCGACGTGAAAATGATCCGCTTTATAACATGTTAATGATAATAAAGAGAGTAAGCATAAATGCGTAATAACCGGCAGTCGAATTATAACGACCAGGAGTATTCGCTAACGCCATTGCAGTGATTTAAACACCGGACGGACGTCCAGCTTATTTCAGCGTGAACATATCAGTGGTGTATTCAACTTGACTTCGAGCTAAGGTCCGAATTATTTCTAGCTTTCGTGTGGCTCATAAACTAAAATTAGTGCACTGTGGTAGAGTATAATTCCATTTTGGATAAAATTTATTTTGATAAAGTCTCACAGTGTTATACAGTAATGTTCATTGATGACGTTTTGAGTACGGTTTATTGCTCATAATCAGATCAAGGTATTCACACAACTTTCTAACTTCGTTTATATAATTCCATTATTTTTCACAGTTTGATTTGATTGGTAGTAGTATTTTCCATATTTCCGGTATGAGCGATGAGTCATTCCTATTGACTGTGTTGGGTGTAGACTCGGTGGACAAGGATTCAGCCATCAAGCTCTCTTTCCACCTCCCTAGATTACTTTTCAGAATTTGAACCCTCTCCCATCCTGTTGTGTGGTTGTGTCTTAACGCATGCAGTGCAATGTAGTGCTGAGCTTTTCTCTAAATTACTTATCATCTCGGAGTCAACCATTCTTACCTTAGCTAAACTGTTATATTCCAACAATCTGACAACCCTCGACCTACTAGTTTGACCTATGTAGTTGACTTAACTCACAGTCATTGCAGGAAATTGTGTCTAATTGGGTCAGTAGGGTGCTTTAATCTACAGATATTGTCCCTGAGTGAGTTTGTAGGTTTAAATGCCACTCTAATTCCCGCTTTATTAAGAATCCTACGTAGGGTCTCACATGTCCCCTCCTCATATGGTATAACCGTAGATAATTTATATTCTCTCTTATGTATGTTATCATTACTAGTTTCACAATTATTTTTATTTTGTTTTTGGCCTTTTCTGATCTTCCTAATGAATTTTATAGGATAGTTATTCAACACCAACGCTTCTTCTATCTGTTTTAATTCATCATTTAGGTTTTTTCTTGTACTACTTAGTGCTGCTGCTCGGTTTGTTAGACATTAAAATAAGCCCGATCCTCTGCCGATGCACACCTGATATCTATGGTCGGCCTGCAAAATTTGGGCTACCGATATCCATGCTGAAAATTCCATACTTGTACCAAAAATATAGTGTGGAATCAAGCTGTAGTCAAAAATAAATAAAAAATATAAAAAATAAGCCAGTCTTAATAGTTAGTGGATGAGACGAATTAAAGTCTAAATATCTATTAGAATGCGTTGGTTTTCTAAAAACACTAGTGTGTAATTTGCCTTCTTCTATTTGTTTTATCTTACAATCTAACATAGCTAATTCTCCTCGTTCATTTTCTGATTCTAATGTGAATTTCATTCCCCCTACTTGAGAGTTTATATGCGTAAAGAAAGCAGAGATATGTCCTGTTTTTTACACTCTACTCTAGGGCCAAAGTTCTATTGTTAGATCATCAATGATTCATAACATCGATTTGCTACACGAATTTAAGTAAAGCCAAAATGACGCATTCCTCATCAGACGATGAATATTTCGAGTTTTGTATGATTCTTTAAAATTGCATGCAGACCAAAAGGCGCTGTTATCAACATATTAGGAATATTGAAAAGTATTCATGAAAATCAATGAAAAAGGAACCCCTATGGTATTCATGACATTAGAAATTAAATGCACTAATCATTTTTGATTATGAGGGCACGTTAATTGGATAGATAGAGAAAGATTGTTATTCAGTCTTGCATAAAAAGTTCTCTTGATATATGTACCCCGCCTTATTTTAATACTTACTTTACTTTACTTCGGCTATCTCCTACGGGAGGATGAGCCGGCTTCATGAACCATGAAGTTTCATGGGAATTGGGTACGAGTGATGTCCCCAGGATCGCTCGGCCTTTTGTTTGAGAGTGCAGCTCTAGCCTTTACACAACCAAGTGTGACCTACAAGGCAGTAGGAGTGGAGTGGAGTAGGGAGTCCACTATCCATTGGCAGCCGGTGACCGGAGTCCGGTTCATTCGCCTTTTTGAATGGGGCCAGTCATCCAGGGCATCCAATAAGCCCTTTGTCCATACGTCTGCCGGTGAGCTTCATACGCCAGTCGTTGAAGGTTTGGAATCAGGGTTTAGCCATCTCCCCTAGACTGTCATCCAATGGACAGTCAACCCGGTGAAGAGCGCCGGGCATCCGCTTTTGCCCTCTCACTTTGGTGAAAAACACCCCCGCCACGTGAAGGCAGTGAGTAGGACTTCCTCAGGAGAGGCTATGTAAGACGCCCGGTCATATGGGAGCATTTCGAGAGGTGTACGGAGGGGTGGCCAACCCGCAGCGCAAGACACCCACCCCCGACCATCCTGAGGCTTTGGAGCTTATTTTAATACTCTCTGCAAAAGAATTATCAAGGCATCCATTTTACTAGGAAAATTTTTCTCAGGTTTTTCATTTTCTTTTCCACACGTTTCTTTGACTATATGACTCTTATTTTTAAATAATGTGAAAAAAATACCACCAATACGTTCTTTCTTGTAGGTGAGTTTTATAACGAGATGAATTTTAATGAATACTTGCAAATGATTTTCATTTTCAAGCTTATTACAAACAATAATTTAATTTGATCCACTTGTTTACGAGTCAACTGAAAGACTACCAATTGGCATATCGTCAAAAGCTACTGTAGACTGTCATCAAATGAACACCATCTAATATGGAATAGCATTTTCTCAGGGTTATGATGTCATTTTGCATTGTTGAGGACTAGTCGGCAAACAATTCGACCCTCATCTTGTCTAATTATTCCACAAATAGTTATTCACATTTAACACTGAATGATTGGTCTACTTACATCATTTTTTAGAATTATGTTGCTCATACTCTCTATCTATAATTCGAAGTCACTATGAAAAGCATGTTCAAACACTTCCTAACTTATAATTTAATTTTGTATACGATGTACACAGTTGACGAGTAACCACGAAATAGAACGAGCTCGAATTATTGTCTCTGCAGAATATTGTCTTCTTCATTCTCTGTTAATCTTGATATAAATATTTACGGCAAGTACATATGTGATGAGAATGTTCAAAGCGGCTGGCGTAAATAAATTACATATTTCAGATAAATTACCTCTTCTTATTGAATTTTATTCCAGTTCCCATTTAAACTACTTGAATTACATGCTGTCTAGTTTGTTGATTAACTTTAACAATTCATTTGCGTATTCTTTTCGTCTCTATGTAGTATTTAGTAGTTTGAACGAATCGTATTCGATAAATGTGAGCAGTAATCACAATTCCTTTTAATAATGTGTTTAATTGTCAAAAGATCATCGACTAGCTAGCTGGTAAGGCAGAGTGAAACTCACAATTTAAAATTAAAACTAAAAACACTGAATTTTATCGAGAGTATCAGTTAATTGGAAAGTGATCTCATGGAATGTGGACGGAGGTATGAGATGGCGAAATCTTCCAATATATTTGGAAAATACTGCAGACAAAAGCGATTCCAATGAGGATACCTGCCGTACAAGACGACTGGGAGAAAGTACTCAAGTCACTACGAAAGAAAGAGAAGAAAATCTTCATTGTTACGTAACCCCTTCCTGTTAGTCATCTGGATGTGTTTCACAAGGGGTCAGACCAACATCCGCCCATCCATTACAGGATGAAACCTACACAACTGAACATAGTCCAAGAGAATCTATTTTGGAATGGTTGCAGAACTTACATCTAGGAGAGAGGAACAATTCTAATGACGAAAGAAAGCTGAATAATCCATCTGATAAGAAAGATGAAAATAAATTTGAAAATTCTAATGGTGATGGTGACAACCGTCTAGCTGAAGACAACTACGCTTTATCCTCCTCAACGTTTCATGATGAAGGAGAAAGTAATTCGGAAGTACTCGAAGATGGTAATAATACAAGGGGTCGAAATAAAAGATTCTTCAAAACTCGGATGTGTATGGTTAATTTGAACAGCCATAGGGGCTGCACACATGGTGACAAATGTCGGTATGCACATGGAATAAAGGAACTGAAATACGTTCCGCTCCAACGAAGCTATAAAACGGAAATTTGTTATAGGTTCCATCATTTGGGAGAATGTACCTACGAGAAGAGATGTGCCTTGATCCATGACGAATCTTTGAAGAAGGTGAAACTTATGCAAATACAAAAAAATTGTTTCAAGTTTATCAACAGAGTCATCAGAGGCTAAAGACGTATCGTTATGAGTAACAGTAACAGTATGCAGGCAGAGAGAGAGAGGTTGATAACTCAATCCTTGTTCATTGAGACTACACCCAACACAGTCAATAGGAATGACTCATCGCTCATACCGGAAATATGGAAAATACTACTACCAATCAAATCAAACTGTGAAAAATAATGGAATTATATAAACGAAGTTAGAAAGTTGTGTGAATACCTTGATCTGATTATGAACAATAAACCGTGCTCAAAACGTCATCAATGAACATTACTGTATAACACTGTGAGACTTTATCAAAATAAATTCGTATTTTTCAACTATTTCAAGTGCAATTATCTTGAGTGTCTACATAGCAAAGGACTGTTTGGTAACGTATACTTAAGAGTATATACCTTGTCAATTATAGATGCATCTTCATCTCGCTCTTGAGGAAAAAGATGACTTGGAAGGTCTACTGAAAACCAAGGGTGTCGTCTGATTTCCTCTATTGTCGCACGCTTGATCGGATCCACAGTGATCATCCTTCGAAGAAGATCTCGTACCTAAATATAAAAAATATTTCATTGAATTAAGTTTTTAGACAGCAACATGACGAAATTTGAAAAAGGATATAAAACGACGGTTTGGAATATGCGAACTAGTATCATAATTGTTGTCAGCGAAAAATAAGGTTAGTGTTTATATTTTTGGTATTTTTTATTTTTAATATATTTGTGCGTTGAAATTTCTGTAGAAATTTGGTTAGGTTTTGGGAGGTGGAGTTGCTAGCACCATGCCACAACCCTTCCTCTTTATCCGGGCTTCAGCCCGGCTAGAAAACTAGCAAGCCTGTAATCTATGCGAGGTTAAATGTGTGCTTTATGATTCTATTATTACTAAATGTGCCTACTAATATGCAAATTATCGTATTGGTGATGTATTTAAACTGTAGTCCCTTCTGTATAAAGTTCGAGGATATATTATTACTATTTGGAAAGACTTGAAGAGTGCCGGCGGTGAAGTAATTTGGTATCTGCTTCAATCTAATTCAGAACACTACGCTTAATATTGTAACTTCAAATATTAGAGTTGTGTTTATGTATCACTTAGCATTGTGTTAATAGGCCTACTTGTGGTTCATACTGGGCTGTTGTATTTTGTTTGATTGTATATTTCTGTCAAATCGGAGCAATTTAGTTCAGCCAATGTGCTGTTGGAATTAGGACTCCGGATAACCACATAATTAAAGGTTTGTATTATAATTAATTTGATGCATTTTGTTAGACAAAACAATTTCGTTTTAATACAAATCTATTCGGAACGATTTGGTCACAAATGGACAGTCTATACTTCCCTTCGTGACGCCAACTAACTATCAAAGACTTCACAAACTAACAAAAAGTTTTGTTTTAACTATCGCTAACTATTTTCCAGACTAAATCTGTATCTGCTGACACTGTTCGCCAACGAAGACGATAGTTCGGCATGCGTAAACACGTGTTCTGGACATTTCAATATATGTAGCTTTATAAGTTTATGAATGGTTAGGAAATGTTTTGCATGCTAGACCTAAATTGTCGATGTTAACTAAATTACTATTCGGTTAAAAAAAATTAGATGTCAGGTCAGGACATGGAACAAGATCCGAATTTTCAACACTAATCTTAAGTCAATCAGTAACTGCAAGGTTCAGAATAGGCGTACGCGTTCCCGAAAGCATTTCCAACAGGCTTTCCAGCAAATTTGCACTAACAGCTGTCTTTCTTGGCTCTCCACTAAATCTAAATGGCTGGCGAGAAATGAAGGTTGCGCAAACTAGCCGAGGACTTATTGCACAACAAATATGCAGAAAGAAATGGAGTTATATTGGATATAAGTTGAAGAGACTCTAAAGTGACATCACATTCCAGGGCCTCGAGTGGAAAGTAACAAGTTAAGCGTCCAAAAGTGAGGGGTTCATGCGAAAAGGAAATGAAACCTGTTGAACAGTCTTGCAGCCAGATGAAGGCTAAGGCAGAGAACAGCACACAATGGAGATGTGCTGTTAAAGACCTGTGCTTCAACAGGAACGCAAGGAACAAATAATAGTAATAGACTAAAACATCGTGTTTTAACTCATCCCTATTATGGTGTATTGCATATAAATAAAATACCACACTTTCTACGTTGATTTGTCTGTCAACTTATCGTTGTATAATGAAGATTTACATCAAAAAAGAAACCTGACTTTTATACTAAGCACATAGAAGATATGTGAGCATTTTACTTTTATTGGCTGAAATCATTATTATAGTTCCAGTTAAAAAATGAAATAAGAGGCAGCAAAAGCTGGTGCTAAAAGCATCTTCACTAGACGGATGTTCAACTGCATTAGTCGTTATTTGGAAAATACAGTGGGTAAGGGATTTAAGCGGAACATGAAAACTGGTGTCGGTAGTGAAAGAGCAGGTATATACTAAGGGAATTCATGCAGAAACTTACCCCTGCACTCAAAGTCTCTGGAAGATGGAAATAGCCAGCTTTGATCTTTTTGAAAAGCGTTGGAATATGCTCATCATCAAATGGAAGTGTGCCACACAGCAAGGCATATAAAATCACTCCACAGGACCACACATCCACCTCTGGACCAGCATACAATTTTCCCGAGATTACTTCCGGAGCGGCATAATTTGGGGATCCACAAGAAGTGCGCAGGAACTCACCATCTTGCATCATATTCGACAGTCCTAAATAATAGTGAATCATGTAGGCATTATTTTGCCTAAAAGGGTCAATAAACTGAAAAATATTCCCAGAAATGCTTTGATGTGTAATTCAAGAAATAGTCTTCAGACCATCATTATCAAATTGTATTCTCATTACACCTGAGATCCTTCATTATGAGTGAATTTCACTGAAAGTTACCTAAGAATATCAATGAAGTATATAAGGTTCTATCTTGTTTTGAAAATAATAAACATATCTGAAAACACGTAAAAGATAGTGATAACAAGCACGTAAAGCGCAAATCGAACTCATGATCCATAAATTGAAAATACAGAAACAATTAACATCTTAGAAACTGTAATGTTATGAACTATATCCGATAAGACATGGTTTAGTAAGTCATAACTCACCAACTACTGAGTGACATACTGAAACTCCATTTCAACCACCAGGGAGTACAGGTAGTGCTAACAGTTTTAGCAACAAAAGGTATGAAATTATTATACAGGTCCTCAAGTTATTAAATACCATCATCTTAAGTCAAGTAGGCTGAATAAAGACGAAGAGATCACTAGAGTCCCTTAAGCATCGTCATAGGGTATTTCCTTGTCTTTAGTCATAGAACTGACATTTTCCGACAAGGAATAGAATTAGTCACTAACTTTCTAGATTTTGCCCATGTCCTACTTTGATTATCTTTAGGTTTCTTTAAATTTGTTCCTTCTTTTCCCACTGTCGTACGTTTTTTCACTCAGTAAATGAGAATATAAAGCATGTTTTTATAAACGTATGTGCATTTATCAACTGGTCCCGGGTACCTTGATACACTTCAACATTGCTCACACAGTTCTTCACCATCCACAAAATGGGTATACCTTGTACAGTTGAAAGAAATTCTATACCATAATTCGTAGTTAGAAACAATAACTGTTCTTGTCTTGAAACATATATGAAATAACTTCCTGATACCCTCATGAGGAAATGATTTTATCATAAGTACTAAGACTTTTGTGGTGTAAACAAAAATATATCTTGAAGAGTTATGGGGCGTGCAGTGTTAAAAGGCGACACAAAAAGATCAATAATGGAATATAACCGGAATCGCTTATGAGTTCGTTAGGAAAATATCAATCAGCAACTGCTTTACTATAAAGCTAACTTTTAGAACTATACACTCCATTACTATCCGACCGACGAGAATCCCAAGAAGCATATGTATGCTGATAAAATTATTGGACAAATAAAGGAATTATAATTTCCAAGATACTGCTATATGTTCAGCACGTTCATGAACAGAGCATGGATTGGTACTTCAACTCGCGCATTCCCCCTACTCAGAAATGGTTAAAAACATTGCATGAATTTCGCCAGGTTATTTATGAGATACTTCCACCTTTAACTGTCATATAAGCCTGTTGCGATGTCCACATGCGTCTGCTAAAACCGATTCGGAATTGTAAAAGGTACCCACCAGCAAACTCGGATTACTGTATTCACCCAGTAAATTACTCTAAAGTAGGTGGTAGTGCATTCAAAGAGTAATTTTTTTTTGATTTACAGCTTGATTCCACACTGTATTTTTGGTACAAGTATGGAATTTTCAGCATGGATATCGGTAGCCCAAATTTTGCAGGCCGACCATAGATATCAGGTGTGCGCCGGCGTGGGCTCGAACCCCGGACCATGTGCATGGTCGGCGAGAGTCCTAACCACTGTGCCACCGACGCACATGGATGGATTACTACCATGGACAGTGTCCGCAAAATTAGTGCGCGCTCAAAAGCAAATCGCCATTAGTTGACAGGTCCAATCCATCCAAAAACACGAAGAAACAACTCCCAGCAAATAAAGGAAAGATAAAATCTGTCGTGATTAAGATGTTAGTGGTAAAAGGTCACACAAAGCAGTACTTCACGTTATACTGTAAAGCAAAAACACGGTTAATAACTATGCAAGACTTTATACACGTTGATCCAGTGAGTAATACTGTTTCACTGTGACACATTTAATAAAAAAACTAATATGGAATCACGTTGATTCACACCTGTTGAAATGGCGAAAACGCTTACCAAGACACATGACAAATCTTAGAAACGTTAGTGACTAAAACAGACCTTCAGGATGTAACTATTACGTAGCCAGAACCAAATTCACCTCTATAACACGCTACATAATACTGGACATTGTGATATGAGGATAGTAAATTTGTGCTAAACAATAGAAACAAAACTAACCAAAATCAGCAATCTTCACATTTTGATGGAGTCAAGAAGCAGATTCTCCGGTTTCAAATCCCTGTGCACCACCTTGTGACGATGACAATAAGCAACACCAGATATAATTTGCTGGAAGAACTTTCTAGCGTCCTTCTCGGACAATCTGCCAGACTTGACAATAAAATCGAACAATTCCCCACCACTAACATATTCCATTATCATAAATATGTCGGTTGGAGTACTAATAACTTGGTATAATTTAATTATATGTGGATGCCGGAAAAGCCATAGATTGAGAATCTCACGACGTAACTTCCCCGCAACATCAAGAGCTTTGATTTTATCTCGATTGACTATCTTTACAGCAACTTGAACTCCGGTAGATTTGTGTATACCAACTTTGACTTTTCCAAAAGTTCCGACCCCCAAAGTCTCTCCAATTATGTAATTGCCAATACGTACTTCTGGACTACATTTCGACATAACGCGCCTTCCTTCCGCCATAATTCAAATACTGCGGCAAACCTGGCGATAATGATTCGCTCCAACTTAAGAATTTATTTGGGGTACATTCACGTTTGGAACCAGAAAGACATTTTTGGATTACATTACGTTCTGTATTTCGAAGAGGCCTACTAACCATGCAGGAAAAAGAAGTAATATTATGAAGCAGATATTTGAAGTAATCATATGGTTCTTTGACAGACTTGAGTTTGATTCTTGTTGGGCATAGAGTGCAGAAAGATGGGTCAGTAAAGCTTTGGTTGAATTTTTTAAATGACGTTCTTTTCTACGTAAACAGTTATTATACCTCTTGTTAAAAACCTTTGTTTAGCTCCTTTGTACAAGATTTTCAAGAATGCACCTGCCGATGTGGTCGAAAATTGAACGATCAATTCATGGTTGTTTGCTGAAACCCAACTTCCCTATATTTTCGCGGAGGTATCAATACACCAGTCATCGTCTCATCGGTCGCTGTTCAGAAAGAAGAGTGAAACATCGTCAGAAGTAATATCGTGATTTATTATTGTAATATTTGTTCATAGACTTTAGTTATTATGCTGCTCATATGTTGGTGTTAGAATAAAGAATTCTCGAGTCGCCAATCGGTGTTTTGGTTTTTGCGTCCTTTAGTACTAAGCGCTTCTGAAAGGCTTCGAGGGACAGCGAGAGGCCCGGCGTAGCAAGAGCTGGACATTAACGGTTTTGAGACGTGATTGACAACACCTTTCACATTGAAAATAAAATGTGAGCATGTTAGCTCGCAAGATGTGTTCTCCTCCTGCTTAGCTGCCTGACTGCAATTATAATGATTGGCTGCATCTTTTTGAACTTACAAGAAACTCAGGACCTTCTGCAATGAATGTGAAAACTCCAGTTTGTCAAACTTACGGTGAAGAATGTGGAGTACATAACAATATGATTGTACACTTTTTGTTAGTTGCTGAAATTAGAGACATTGTACATGATTTTTGTTTAAAAAGATTCATGTTTATATGTGTATAACTTCCGAGTACAATTCAAAATACACTATACTGTTGGTAGCTTCGCCTTCTCACTGGCCATTACTGCTTGCTTGCTCCACTCATACCGTGTTGTACACTTTGGATTTATTGCAGGAGTCTATTATCCTTATCCGGAGACAACTATACAACTGGTCCACAGCATCTACCAGTAGACGCAATTCCAACAGTGAACGCTCCTGTGGATTATATTAATAATTTTTAGCGGCGGGCTTTAACACTATATCCAAGTAACCTTCTTGTTAATACAACTCATCACTGCATTTTTGATAATATATTATTACTCTATCATCTCATTGATTTGGAGTTTTATTCGAATATTTGTAATGTTAATGAGCTCTCCTACAGTCTCCTACAATAATAGTTGGAATATACCACCTCAGGACCTTCTGATAATATTACTAAATTTATGGATGGTAGATCTTGGTTTATTTCCAGAAAACTCTACATTTTAATAATTCGTTATTCTAAGTAATGGTGACACAATGTTGGGGCATCTTTTGGTGATTCGGTTAATATTTTGAAACCCTTCGTAAGTGCTATATCAATTATTAGGTCCATCACATAAGTGTTACGTGTACAAAGGCTCAAGCGTGTCTGCTTCTCCACTCTTCTACTTAAGGGTTGTCGCATTTACTATCAAATGGTAGTTATAGATTTGGATGAAAACGAAAATGTAGGATTGCTTTCAGGATTTCATCATGAGCCGACATTAGTTAGAGAACCATTGGAAAACCTGGGAGTACTGGACAGCTGTTTCGTCCTAGTTTGGGACTCTTTACCAGTACGCACCCACCGGGATTCAAACCCAGGACCTTCTGGCTACAAGGCGAGCTCGTATACCATTAAGCCACCGGGACCCGATCCAATGGTCCTTGAATTCTAACCTCTGCCAATTCACGACATAGCGCGACCGCTAGCCAATGTCTTCGGCGAGTATTTGTCCTCACACCCGACCGGCTGCACCCTACTGGTATTTCAACATTATTTCCCGTTGACTCATCTATGTCCACCATTTCAGTGTCAGCATCAATATCGTTATATAATGCCTTGCTAACATTAGCCAGTGCCTGCGAAAATGTCCGTTGCATGCCGTGATCAGGTATTTCACTAGACGGAATAACACATGGAACATCATCTACAGTTATCCTATTAGAGTTATCAGCATTCAGTGTTCCTGAGCGGCATCGTCTTTGGCATGGTGTTAAATCAGGTGTGTCAGTGTAGTTGAAGATTGAACGATCAATTCATGGTTGTTTGCTCAAAACCAACTTCCCTATATTTTCGCGGAGGCATCAATAGGACAGTCATCGTCTCGTCGGTCGCTGTTCAGAAAGAAGTCAGGAGAAAACCGTCAGAAGTATTGTGATTTATTATTGTATTATTTGTTCACAGACCTTAGTTATAACATTTTTTATATGTTGGTGTAACAATAAAGAATCCTCGAGTCACCAATTGGTGTTTTGGTTTTTTCGTCCGTTATTACTAAGCGTTTCTGAGAAACTTCAAGGAACAGCGTGAGCTCGAGCGTAGCAAGAGCTGGGCATTAACGGTTTACGAGACGTGGCTGAGAAGATGAAACCCTAATGTTAGTGTATGGTGTTGAAGAGCCTATTGTCTTACCGGATTTCAGAGAATTCCTGGCTTCTTCAGTAGACCTTAACTTGAAAAGCACCGGACGCTGGTGGTTTGCAGATTTCTTACGAAGACGCAAAGCCTGACATTCTGTCAACGACATACTACAAGCCTTTAGACACGAAGTCTTAAGTTTGGCAATAGGTTCTCTGTCTGGAACGTTATAGGCCAAGACGTTATGTGAAGACATAATCCTCTTAACAGCTTCCTCAGCCAAATAGTCAATTATGCGCTCGGATTTGATAAGTGATTCAAGATAGATGTTTTGTGATGGGTTGCACGGTTGCATGAGAGGCATAATGCTGTCAAACTTGCTCTGTAGTTCTGCTATTGACTTCTGAAGTGTCAATAAATCATTTTTGCCACAAGCCCCATTCTCTGTCAGTTCCTCCATGATATCAGATACCATAACTCTGGGTGTGGCTGGCGTAAAATGTGTAGAATCGTCAACAGAGCTGAGGCCTTCAGATAGTTGACTAGTATTAGATCTCAGTCTCTTAACGGTAAGTACACATTTGATAGACTTAACCGTTACAGAAATAAGAAACTTCACAATTTCCAGAAGAAAGTCTTGAGGATATAAAAATAAGATAGTTGCATTATCGAAGTATCAAAACAACAACGATAAACAGATGTATATTGCAAAATAAAAAGTCAGACTTTCCTTTACAGTGTTTGCTGTGGATAAGGTCCTGAGCTCCACGTGGTTAGAGAGGGTATCCGAAGATTCCTGATGTAGATTTCACGAGAGAATGCTATATGTTGTTACAGTTGATACAATACAATCCTTGTTGACTATGGATAACTAATAATGTGAGAAAAGCGGCTAATTTCCAAAATATTAAGGAAAAATGATTCACGCAGAAACTGAACACCTGTAGCGCAACAGTTCAGATTTGGATGTAAAGGAAAATGTAGGATTGCTTTGTTGTCGTAAGAAATTCCCCACACTAACTGTTCTGCGGCTTCCATTTATTTCATCAGGCTAGGCTGAATGTGCACCCGTTAATACCAGCTAAAATAATTCTCAGCCATATACTTTGCTAAAATGTGAGGAAAATAACATCGTATTTATACATGTCAAACTAACTTGTCTAATATGAAATCGGGTATCAAAGACGCTCTGTTTCGCCGTGAGTCTCCTATGCATTATTATACATAAATCTTTAGTGTTCACCACACGTTTCACATAGGCGCAGTTTCTGCAGAGAATATTGTTTTCTTTCAAATTACATACAGTATTCTCTCGGAAAATAGATATAGGCAGTTTTTTATTGGCTGTTGGCTAGCTGGCTTTTTATTGGTCTAAAATATAAATTAAAGCGCCAATCTCTTTATTTTTACACGGAAATTTACAGTCAGTAAAATTTCGGGCTTACCTTACCATAATATAATGGCGTGTTAATTTTTTTGGTGTGAGTGTAGTGTGACAGTCACACGCTATTTGGATGCATTGTTGATGTTTTAAGTATGTTGAGATGTATGAGAATGTCCAGAAAGTGAATATAAATCAACAATAATTTTGATGCATTTATTTTAAGTCCAAAATAGGATGTATGCATTTTTTATTACTAGGCGAATATAATTTAACTACAATTTCTAAAAATTTAATGTGTCCTTAATTAGTACATATAGATAAATGTATGTATTAACTAATCTACTTTTTTAAGTCGTCAATTCAATGACATGTGGGATTTGTGCATACTAGGTCAGCATAAATCAAGTAAATTTCCCTTCAAACGGCTGAGAGCGACAGTTTAAAGCATACCTTGGTTGATTATTTCGTGATGAAAGCAATTTGGAGTCAGTTATAAATTACACCGATCTGTGTCTTATTCATACGTTTTTCAGCTGAGGATTTCCGGTTCATAGCATATCCTGAATAACGGTGATTAATACGATTTATCACTTAGACCGCAGCACCACCAAGCTTAAAACAATTCTAAATTTATTCTAACTTATTCCTCGATAATGCCTTTTTATGGTAACTGAAGAACATATTTACCCACTATGTTCTGAAATGACATAGGTCGTGCTTAAAAAGACAGCTGCGTGCTGAATCAAAACTTTCCGCTAAGGAGAAACGCTAGTCCATGCTTAATATGTCCTGTGAGGGCTGGAACAAAGTTGATAAGCAGACCCAGTAGGTTCGATTTAGTGCCACTCATGCTGAAAAATCAGCGCACAGTTTCACTGTCAAACAATGGCAAAACAGTAAGGGAGTTTAATGTTACTATTACTAGCATAGTCTATGTTACTATGTTAGCATAGTATACGTTAATTAGCTCAATGATTGCAGGTTTACAATAATCTTTGACTACCAACATAATAACTGTGAACTTCAGGCTAAAAATAAGCTAAATAGTAGCACCCAGTGACAAAAACTGACCTACACACTGCAAAATGAGCAAAACATCCAGAAAAACCTTTAAAATTCAATGGAAAACGAATTCACGAAAACATATAACTAGCCGGCGCAGGAA